TCTTTAAAAAAAGTTCTGCCATAGAAAAAAAAAATATCATCAAACCATTTCTAAGCCCCAAATCTTTGAGAAAAAGTTCGTTTTGTTCCTTGAGGAAAAATCGTGTTGACTAGTGTAATAAGGTATTTTTATTTTTTTAAAAATTTTGTCAAATTTGTTAGCAACTTCTAAGAAATTTTTTTATATACAAATAAAAACTTTAATATTACTATAAAACCCAAGATAACAAAATTAAGGGGAAAGGAAACATCTCTTGGAAACATTGGACAACCACTCTGACAAGGAGACTTGCTAGAGCTAACAAGAAGGCTGTAGGAAGAACAACAGACCTTAATGTGTTTCAAATCTAGAGTATCGTCCTGTCACCAATCTCACTCCTTTCCTTGTTAATTACTTGTAATTCTAATTAATGTCAACTGTCCGAAGTCCATAGTATAAGTTGCTAGTGTAGTAAGAGTAAACTATGTAATTTTAATGTTTCTTTGTGATATGTGTTATAGGTGGAAAACATCGATGCTACTACGATGCTCGATGTTTTTAATTTTTATAAGCATCGATGTTTTTTGGCGACACGAGTTTTGCTTTTATGTTTTGCGTCTATGAAGAAAACCTAAAGAGAGGGATCAAGCTCAAATGGTTACATTTTACATGCCATTTAAGCTGAGCCCAAAATTGTGCGCCCGGACACGGGGTACGACAACGGGCGACAATACCTGCCACGGGCGCAGGCCCGCGGGGTGTAGCGTTTCAAACCCGTGCGGGATGTCGTGGCTGCCAGGAGTAGTCACCCTGGGAGCGCTAACCCACCTCAGTCAGAGAGGATATTCAGCAAGGGTGGGCAAATTATTTCCGATCGCGTAGCCGCCTTAAGCCGGAAGTGGTGTACCAATTATTATTCTCAACAAGAATCAGACTTATTTTGATATAGTCTGGTAAATGCACTTATTTTATATATATATTTTTTGGAATGGATTTCGAACTTGATCTCAAATGAAATAAAACTGTTATTATGTATAATTTTAATTATTTCTTTGCAGTTTACTATGTATTTTTGATATTTTTTTTATGTTGCACACATCGATGTTTCATCGATGTTTTCACTAAACATCGAAACACGATGTCTCCAAACATCGATGTTTTTCCACCTCTAATGTGTTAAATAAATTAAAAAAATTACAAAAAAAAATCTAAAATAAAACTCGGAAGATAGGCCTATAAAACAGGCTTTAATCAGCTTCTTTCGGTTTAAAACTTCTATATCGTCGATTTTAGATTTTTTTTCTTCCATTTCATATTTATACATCCATGATTCGCCACCTGTTCGATTTTGAAGCGCCACGATCGTGTTATTGTATAATTATCGATTTAAAATTATTTGGTTTCCCAGAGGCAACCATCCATTTTGGGGAGGTCCGTAAGGTTTTGCCGTTCCAAATATTTTCCAAGTTATTTTACCATCAATCTGGGATGTTCCTGATTCGCACGTTTCTGTGCGGTATTTTTTCGACAATTTTCAAATGCAACCATATATAAAACGAGAAGGAACGTGTGAGTCGCTTCTGGGGACGCGACTCTACTTATACCCGTACTCAGTCAGTATATACATTTTTGAGCTTATGATTTTTAAGAATTTTAGAAAAAAAAAAAATTTTACATTTTACATTTTTTTGCTACATATGATATCTACATACATCTACATATACAATGTATATTCTACATCTAACATGTAGATTTTACATGTTCCAATTAGATTCTACATCTCCTCCGCTAGGGGTTGCTCGCGCACTGAACGCGGCAGAATGTGCGAGCGAGAAGGAAAATGAGATGCGTTGTCGGTGGCGGGAGGGGGAGGGGAAGCAACTGAAAATTAATTTCTTCATTCTGGCTATAATTATGATCCGATCTGATTCAGATTCGGCAATCTGGTAGATATGGACATTTTCTACGATACTGCGTTTTTAGATTTATCGTATCTTTAAAACTGTGCCTGCCACAGATTTTCGTCCTTTGTGTGGGCGGAAGGGGGTGGGGCGAAATTTTGAAATACACTTGTAGCAGTGTGATATCACATGAGTCTGGAAACCAAATTTGGTTTCTCTAGCTCTTATAGTCTCTGAGATCCAGGCGCTCATCAAGACGGACGGACGGACAGACGGACGGACAGACGGACATGGCTATATAGACTCGGCTATTGATGCTGATTAAGAATATATATACTTTATGGGGTCGGAAACGTTTCCTTCTCTGCGTTGCACACATCCACTTTTACCACAAATCTAATATACCCCTTAACTCTTTTTTGAGTACGGGTATAAAAAACCCCAATCACTACGAAAAACAATGACAGACAGGAAAATGGTAAAAACAGCAAAAAACATCTGGTATGTCAGAATTGTCTCAGGCACAATTACTCGGTTTGTGGAATATCCTCTGGGAATTCTTTTATGAATGCTCTGCAAAACTTATGCAATATATTGCACTCGATATTGGCTGACAGCCTTCCGACAATTCTGTACTCAGAAAAAAGCGCAAAGTATACAATGATATGGTTGTACAAAACTTTCCTTAAAAACGTCTCGTTGTTTTCGAAAAAAACAGCATATATATTTGTATTTAAAACATTGATTGGATTTACAAGCAGGCACAAACGACCACAATTTTCCTGACTTCAGTGTTTTTAACACAGATACCTATTCTATTATCTTCTGTTGCCGATGAAATTTAAACCTAACAGAGTAGCGCTGAAATTTAAACCAGAACAGCCACGTAGGCGCATACGGCAACGCCACCATGCATAAGCACCACCATTCGGCAACTCTAAAACAGAGAGACAATTGAGGATAAACCAGCGAAGCAAGAACACAAAGTTTTTTAAAGCTCTCTCTTATTATTATTATTAAACTCACATAATAAATTGGAAAAATTATACCAAAAAAACTTTTTTTATTATAAAACACTAGCAGACCCGCGCGCTTCGCTGCTTACTAAATGAATTTAATATTTAGGAATTCATCGAAATTAAAAAATGATAATTTTGATGTAATGACATTTTATTTATTGCAATACTTTGTGATAAACAATATTCTTTGTTTTGCCGTCGGTACAATGAATAATTAATGCCGAAGGTTTGCCTACTCGTGAGAACGCTACATACATGTGAAAATACCGGATGCTCAAAACTTAAACCACAAATTTGCAACGACTGTCCTTGTGAATTATTAATAGTCATAGCAAAAGCAAGACGAATCGGAAATTGTAGTCGTTTGAAATCAAATGGCATGTCAGTTGGAATCATCGGAATTCTCGGAATTAAAACGTGTTCACCACAAAATTTCCCAGTCAAAATAGTTGCTTCAAGTAAATTAGTCATAACTTTTTTCACAGAAAGTCTTGTACCATTGCAAAGTCGTGGTGGAAAGATTCCGCAGCATAATTATGGTGGCTCCAACTTTTACTTGTAAATAGTATGGCGGCAATCCAGGTAAGTCCAATGAATTTAGAAATTCGACTGGATAATTTACAACACCATCTTGATTGATAATTGTATCAACCGACCTATACGCAACCATTTCTCCTGGGATGGAATTCAAAATAGATGCGTTGCTCTTTCCCTCAACCAGTTATGGTTTCTATAATTTTGTACAATATTTGGAAACACGCTCTGAATCAAGTATTCCTTCGATGACACAAAAGTGCAAAAATTATTTGGAAGCGTTATGAAGCCAGAATTGTCAACGGGATGTATGCCATTACCAATGTCTAACAGTTGTCTGGAAAATAAATCTGCTGAAGCATCGTTTTGCATATGAACACGTACATTTGTAGTCAATCTAAGTGTTTTCACAGAGCGCCACAAATTAGATGTTTTTAAACACGCATTAATTTCATCAGCAGAAGTTCGTAGTTTGACTACAGGCAATGTTTGTCTGAAATCACCTGCTAACAATAGTAATGCACCATCAAACAATCGATTATCTCCACGAATATCTTTCAACGTACGATTAAGTGCTTCCAGTGACTTCTTGATGGCCATAGTACACTCAATCCATACAATAAGAGAGCATTGCTGCAGCACTCTCGCCATTGCAGATCTTTTTGAAATGTTGCATGTAGGATTATCGTCAACGTTCATATTCAAGGGCAACTAAAGGGCAGAGTGCGCCGTGCGACCACCATCCAAATAAAGTGGCAGCGATGCCAGACGAAGCCAAAGTTAATGCGATTCTACCTTGTGCTCGAATGGTAGCCAAAATAATCGAAATGACAAACGTTTTTCCGGTACCTCCAGCTGCATCCAAAAAGAACAGTCCATCATGTTATTCTTCGATAGCTCGCAATATTTGGTCGTAAACCGTTCTTTGGTTGATATTTAACCGTGGCTCATTGTTTTGCACAAACGCATTAAGCTCGGCACGATCATACTGCTGTTCACGCTCCAGTTCTTTGTTGAAAAGGTCGTGTATATCACGATTAGGCGCTTTCATACCTAATTGAGCTAATGCTTTGCTTGCCATCATCAAGCAAAGGTCTTCAATAGCAATCAATGCTTCGTTGTAAATTTCCGGCGTATAGTCCTTGTGTATATCACCCGTTTGACGGCGCAATCGATGTAAAAAATCCTCTGACAAATGATTTTGATGTTTTTGCCACAATTCAATTGGCTTTGCTGGACTGCACGTGGCTCTAATAATTGCGAAAAGTGTCCGAATTTCATGTGGACTTGATGACAATGATGCATCTTCAGGTGTAAGATCCCAATGCATGTCATTCTCAAGCAATCGTTCGCATGCTTCGCGATACGTCCCACACAATTCTTCATCAACAGTTCGCAAAGATTCAAATGATGTTGGTCCACGAACATTTATTAGCAACAATTGCAAATAATAACACTCTTGATTGTTAGGATGAACTGTATAAATTCGTCCTATCGCATCTGAGTGAAACAATACTGGCTGACCATGAACGGCTTTTCCGCGTTTTCGCCTTAGAAAAACTTTTGAATTTTCGAATTATTCCACGTATAATATTCGGGTACTTCGGCGTATAGCAATGTTTTCGCAAAATCATCTGCTTGACACAACGAAAAAAATGCAGTTAGAGTTGCGCAGCTCTTCGCATTGCATTCCCGGGTGTGAAAAAAGCGCGATGACCGTTTTCAAGATGAACAGCTAAATGAGCTATAGTTGGATGCCTATCATGGATGTGAATGATAATATGCGCCATACTGCTTCATTTGAACTGATGTATCTGCCCATTTGAAATTGAGTGATTTCATCGGTAACATTAGCAGCTGCTCCAAAAACAGCCATATCACTGCCCTTGTTGATGTATTTGCAAATGTATTTAATAGATTGAACTGAATTGCAAACATATACGTTTATGTGCTTTTTATAAATCTTAGATAATAACGGTGAATATGGCAAAAACCCAACGATTATCAATCTCCAAATCTTGATTTTTAACTCTCAAAATTACCGAATGGCCATTATCTTCAGTTGATCGACGACGATATTCGGGATATCCATCGTTGCCCGTCACTGTATCGGAGACCAAATTTTTTGGAAAACGTTTGCAGCATTTCCCTTCAACCATACAGGGTGAATTCAAATTCAACGCACCATATGGACCGTGAATCATATTTTTGGTGACCACTTCAAACAATACAGGATTCACTGTCAGATCTGGAATTTCTGCCGAAATCACATCGTCAATTTAATTCGGCCTTATTTTTTCAATCAATACTGGTCGACCGTAATGGCGAACGTATGACATCGCATCTTGCGCGTACTCAAACATATGACGTGGACTTCCAACATACGATGACGGTAATATTATCATAGTTCCAACGTTTTGTGCATTACCATCGTTGTTAATGGCATCACGCAAATGAACATACTCTTCGGAACGTAAATTGGCTTGGTTGAATCGAAGAAAATTTAACCGTTCCGATTCAATTTTTGCATACATGTCAACAATATACTGGTGGAAAAGTTCTCTACACCTCAATATGTGGTTGTCTTGATTTTGCCGTATCTGCAGCCTGTATGCGTAATAATTCATAGCACTAACTTTCTTTGTTCCTTCTCGACCGTTTACTGGATTTATCATTTTAATGTTGAAATTATAGCCATCTTGTCCGCTCCAAAACAATATGGGATATTGCAGTGCATCATAACAGCGATGAGTCTCGGATACACGTTCAAGTTGTTCATTTCTACGATGAAGAATATTACGATTATTAAATTGCTCACCAACTATGACTATTGCCACTTCGTCAACTGTTTGTGCATTGAAACGCCTTGCATGTTCGCCAACCGGTGTTTTATCAGCTCGAATAACAATTTTATGATCGTCAGATGGCATTCGATCAAGCGATGTTTTGATAACCTGAACCAATTCGTTGTGCTCATGGAACATATTTTGCAAATCGAAAATAATTTTTCTCCGCGTGTTGGTAATTATGGCACACCGACGATCAGCTTCGTCTTCTGCGTTCTCGATAAAATATAATTGCAAAAATTGGTGGTCTGCGTTGTCGAAAGGTAACAAAGAGCCAGCTCGATGGTATATTTGACCTTGAATCTGAATAAAATATATGATAGAATGAGAACAAACGTAAAATTTGCATAAACAAAACTATTTAATTACCTTGAACGTTGGCATGAAGTTGTCTCTTATAATATTTGTGGCGCCAAAAGATGTCATTTGAAACTCGAATTATACTTTCGTATATTGTTCAAAAAATGATTAGACTCAGGTGTCAATCCATTAAGTAATGTGCTCAATGGTTGTGGTGGGCTGCCTAATTCAGGCAATTTTACTTTACCACTCGCACAGCACATCCCATCTGCTTCACCTTTAAATTTTAATGCCTGACAATGGCGACAACGGTCGTTCATTGGACCAATTATAATTTGCCTATGAGAAGCATAATCGGTGACACTACTGTACGCGAACGCAACACCTTGTAGATTTTGAATATCACGACGTTCATTTGCAGTTGTTGTTGCATCATTGTTCCGTTGATTTGAACGCAGACGATTATTTTCATTGCGATGTGTAATGTCTTGGCTACTTTCACGGCTCCTTGAACCAACTACTTGAAACGAATTTCGCGTTCGCCGACCCAAATTTAATCGTCTCTACATTTAACTTTAAAAACCACACAGGTTGGTTTAAAACGCACACATTTTCAAAAAAAACAAATATACTTACACAAATTGCAATTTTTTCAGAAAACAAATTTTCACACAAAAAGGTTTAAAAAACAAAATCTATCATCAAATGTTCTCTTCTACAGAATGACACAAAATGAAATGAAATAGGCGTTCAAACACACATTTTTAGACCAAATTTGTTCTACAGAATGACACAAAATGAAATGAAGTAGGCGTTCAAACACACATTTTTAGACCAAATTTTTTTTTTTTGATTAAATCATCGCATGGATGACAGGGGTCTGATCGCAGCTGTGACTTGTTGTCTAGTTTTCCAGGAAAGTACGCTTGATGAGACGAAAACTATGTCTCCAGATTTTGTGTTGGGTGTAATTAGTGTGTGACTTATTGTCCGATTATTCAGGTTCGGACGCTTGATGGGCCCAAGGTGTGTCTCCAGAAATATGTGTTTAGTGAGATCTTGTGAGTTTGACAAACAGATCGAAGAGTGTAAAACCTCCGAATGTTTTGTTTAAAACTTGTTTGTAAAAATTGTATCTTTTTTGTAATTTATTTATATATATATATTTTTTTTTTTTTGAAAAACAGGCCTCCCCCTTTGGCCTGCACAGACTTCCTGTCAGCGAGCTTGACAGGCGTTAGAAGTCATTTCCCTATACTTTATTAATCTAAAATAATTTATCACAAAATGCTTAAAAGTCCATATTAGCGCTTTTTATAAACTGTGCCAGTTCTCTGAGGTGGAGTGGCTCTTTTTTGATCAAGAGTTCATTTAGATCCTTATAATATTTAAAAATTCGATACTTACCCCTAAGACGGACGAATCTTTGGCATTTAAAAAGTAGATGTTCAGCGGATTCTGTGACATTACATGACTCACAGATATCCGAATCAATCGCTTTAATTTTGTATAGAAAGGCTTTATCGTACGTGTGTCCTGTCATCAGTCTGTTTATTGTCTTTATGCTTTTTGCATTCCATTTTAAATTATAGTGCCATGGTTTTTTGGGTATGTTTGGAAAGATTTCGATTAAACTGGTGCACTTGTTACTACATTTTTGTTTATACTCCTCGTTCCACTTGTGTTCTAAGGAGTTTTTAATTTCTCTTAAGGCTTCTTTCACACTAAATTGAATGTAAATGGTTTCCCCTTCTCGTATGGCGTCTTTTGCTGCCATATCAGCCTTTTTGTTTATCGTTACCCCTTTGTGCCCTGATATCCATAGAATATCCAGTTTTTGCATGCCTGATGTGTCGATAATATTGTGAATGTCTCTTACTATGTATGAGTCTGTTTGTTTATTGTTTACTAGTTTTATCGCTCCTAGACCATCACAACAAATAACAGCTTTCTTGTATCCATTATTGGCACATATCTCACTCGCTTTTTTAATACCTATCAGTTCGGCCCCTACAGATGAAAGCCTAGTTACTGTTCTATATTTATATATATTTCCACTGGGTAACTCTACAATTCCTATACCACACCTGTCCTGCATGACCGATGCATCTGTGGACAGAATATTCCAGCCTTCTTTTGAATATTTTTCCAAGATTTCAGAGAATCTGGCTCTGATTTCCTCCCTCGAGTATTCTTCTTTGTTCTTTGTCATTTCTTATTCTCTTACATTAACCTTTTTACAGTGTTTATAATTATCACAGCTTTGTGAATTGTCGATGAAAGTTTTAAATTCTTCTAAGGTACAAGTGTAACTCGTCTTTGCTTTTGATAGTCTTATACTTTCGAACATCCTGGGATTCAGCTTCTTGACCTTGAAAAGTTCTTTGGCTGTAAGCCACTTAGCCCTGAAACTTGGAGGCATTATTCCCGCCAACACAAAGATTTCGTGCTTGCTTGTATCAGGAGGCACACCTACACATCTTCTCAGCACTCCTGCCTGTGCAATTTCCATGTCTTTATTGGACCCAACTCCCATGTCAGAGAAGCTGGTAATTGCATATTCTTGCTTGCTTCTTATAAACGATTTGAAGATATTAACGCTAGTCTTAGGTTTCAGTCCCGACTTGATAGTTGTCGCTAATTGTAAGAGCCTACTACTTTTCCTAGTTACTTCTTTTACCATTTTTATATGACTGGTATTGGACATGTTAGAACTTATAAGCCTGCCTAGAAATAAAAAGCTTTTTTTCACTGGTATTAGAACATTTTTAACTTCTATGTTCAGAGACCTTCCACCTTCTCTTCCCATGTTCATAATCACAGATTTGCTAGGATTGAAACTGAAGCCCAGATCGCCATATAATAGGCTAAAATCGTTTAATTTGTTTTTCAGATTTGCAACTACAGCCGCAAAGTTATACCCGTGTGACAGCAATATAAAGTCGTCGGCAAATTGCATGATTTGTGTATTGAAGTCCCCTACCTGATGTAGTCTTTTGGTGTAAATATTAAAAAGTAGTGGTGAAAGACATGATCCCTGGGGTAATCCTCCTTGCACCACTTCTACTGCATCTCCCAGTCTTAGCAACCTAATGGACATGAAACTTATAATCCAGTCCACATACATTTACGGAAAACTTTCATTTTCCATTAACATCTTTAAAAAATTCAAGTTTACACAATTGTAAGCGTTGTTTAAGTCAACAGCCGCTACTACCACATGCTCCTTGCTTTTTTTCCTTGCAGCTAACTCATTGATCACATCGTTAATGCACATTGCAGCTGACTTATCCTTCTGATACGCATAAGACCTATAGGGTAGAATTTCGTTGTCCTTTATATATTTTTCAAGCTTGATTTTGATAATGCTGTTAACTGTTTTGGCCAGGACCGCTATTAAGGATATTGGTCGAAAATTTTTTGTCTGATAGATCTTTGTTTTTTTTTGGGATTGGCGTGATTTTAATCGTGCGCCACACAGTTTGCAATTTTGTTGTTGTAGAATTTGACTAATTTTGCCTTAGTGTCCCTGTTTAATGCGTTGAGCATCTCATAAGTGATCTTGTCAAAGCCTCCTGATTTTTTTTTGTTTCGACCTAGGACCATTTCTAGATCTTCAAGAGCAAATTGCGGATTCTCGTTTTCTTTTGATGCATGCAATGTGGCATCAATGCTTCTGGCTTCAGCAGGTACTTGTTCTTTTAGCCATTCTAAGTACGACCCAGCTTTTTCTAAATCAAATTGTTCTTGAGTTTCTATGTTGCAATTTTTAAGGTTAGCTAGAAACTTCCAGGCTTCCCTAGTATTTGCCTTCACATTGAGCTCTGTTAGTTTCCTGGCGTAGCTAGTTTTCTTTGCAATTTTGACTGCCTTCTTCCACTTGATTTTTAGATCTACTGCCTTGCAATAATTCTGAAAAGCTGGCTCCGAACATGCCTTTTTTGGGCCTCAGAGAATTCGTTAAATAGTTTGGCTAACCTCTCATTCCACCATAACTTCGGCCATTTGTTGTCAACTTCAAAGGTAGCAGCATTGATTTCATGTTGCATGCATTTGGCTAAGTCTCCTATGTTTTTTTTTATATCTATTTTTCCCAGTTTTTTAATTAGTTTGTTTTTAGCTAGAAACTTACTTAGCTTTTTTCCTCTTCCAATCAATTCAAAACATATAGGGTGGTGATGACTGCCTCCCAGAAACAGTTTCTCACAATTCCAATTCTGAACTTTAATACCCTTTACAAAGGTGAGGTCCAAGACGGACCCTGCAATTGAATCTATATTTCTCCTAAATGTAGGACATCGATCGTTTACCAGAGCATATCTTGCATTGTTCATCGCTTGCTTTAAAAAAGCCTCTTTTCTACTGTTTATTGTGTCACCAAAACCTATGTGTCTAGCGTTAAAATCCCCTGCCACAATTGCATTTTCAAAGGGGTCTAATTTTTCCAGAAGGTTATTTATAGCTTGCTTAAAGGTTTCGATCGATGTTGTTGACCAAATTTGAGATTTTTTGTTCGATTCATTTTTAATTCTTGAGGAACCTATTTATAGAAAAGTACAAATTAGTTTGTGCAAACCAGGACACATTCTCTGGCTAGCATTAAAAAACAGCATGCAATTTGGTGCACGCGTTGCGGAGATAGCTGCTTACACACAGATTTTTTTCTACAAATTTATAGTATAGATTTGAAATATATATTTTTTTTTATTTATCCACATTGGAAGGAATACATTATAAACGTAACATTTCTATGAAATAACTATTTACCGATTTATTTTGAGATAGTATAATGGATGAAATATATGAAGTCATTAGAATATTGACCTGATTTTTTATACCCGTACTCAAAAAGGAGTTAAGGGGTATATTAGATTTGTGGTAAAAGCGGATGTGTGCAACGCAGAGAAGGAATCGCTTCCGACCCCATAAAGTATATATATTCTTGATCAGCATCAATCTGCCTGTCCGTCCGTCTGTCAGTCCGTCTTGATGAGCGCCTAGTTTTCCGAGATTATAAAAGCTGGAGCAACCAAATTTTGTTTCCAGAATCATGTGATACTGCTACAAGGTTATTTCGCCCAACCCCTTCCGCCCTAAGAAAGGACGAAAAACTGTGGCAGTTACAATTTTGAAGATACGATAAAACTAACCACGCAGTTTCGTAGAGTATGACCACATCTACCAGATTGAAGAATCTGGATCAGATCGGAGTATTATTATAGCCAGAATGAAGAGCTTAATTTTCAGTTACTTCCCCCACCTCCTCTAGCACGCGACCACGCTATTCATTCTCATTTTCGGTAGCACACACTCTGCCCTGTGCAATGAGCGACCTTTGCGAAGAAGATGTATAATCTACATTGTGTATGTATAATTTAAATTTTATATGTGGAATCGACATTGTAGATGTAGATACAGATATAGCTAAAAACTTCATAAATCATAAGCTCACAAATTTATATACTGACTGAGTACGTGTATAAATTTTGACTAATTTTGTAATGAATCTCATTAAAAACTTCAATTTTCGTTTGAATACACGTGCTGTGCTGTCATTACGATGCATTGAGTTTTGGCCTGTTAATAATAGAGAAGTTATCTCCAGCCACTTTGGAGTACATGTAAACGTTATAAATAAACACGGCCTACGTACGTGCTCACCATCTTGTGTTTTAGCCGAATTTATGACAATAGCGTGATAGTCACTTTATAATTTGAGCATGTGTGATTTTAATAATATCAATAATTCATTGTGCTGATTAAGTAATTTATCCAGCTTTCCAACTATACGCCTGGATATTGCCGACTTAGGGTTATAGCAACCGCAACGTGCTATTGAAGAATGCGCGATTTTGGTCCTCACCATCAATGAAGTATATTTGTAAAAATTTATGTGCTTCGTTTGGCATTGGCAGCAATGAGCGTACTTTGTGGTAATATCCTTTGTCCTTTAATTTTAAATGTAGAATTGTATTGTTGACCATTTTCCTCAATATTGTTGACTATTTATTTTGCTCCGAGCGATGTAATTTTTAAGCATGTATTGCATTTTCGAATGGACTTCATGAAGAGGTTTGAATCTAGATACGTGCGGATGAGCAAGCTGTTCTATGGTTCCGGTGGTGTCTCAATAACAGGTAGTTGCACTTTTCCTGATGCGCAGCACATACCATTTGACTCATGTTTATATTTGAGTGCGTGACAATGGAGCTGGTAATGCAGATTCGGGAGCCGAATGCGGCACTTCGGAGAGTATGCAGTTAGAAATGTCTGTAGAGTCCGTGTCCGTCGAGTCCGCACACAATTCCTTAACTATCCCGTCAGTTTCGCTCCCACCATCTAATAGACGTCCCGGACCAACGAATATTGCCATCACAGGTACCAGACCTGTGGTGCCAAATACTCTATGTACTTGTTGGCGTTTTCGGTCATTTTCTCTGATATTGTCAATTATGTAGCGGCGCCCACGTCTCAAATCCAATTTCTTTGTTCATTTCGCACCTTATGTGATTGAGACTCCCGCAAGTACCATATGCCCTCAGTCACATTTTCTTCGATTCGTTCGACTGTTCTTTCTGCTCTTGTCATTGTTCAGACCAAACTTAAAAAAAAAAAAAATTTGAAACGCAAAGAAAGATATTAAATTGAGATTATGTCACAAAACACACTGACAACTAAATGAAAGCATTACTTGATACAAAAATGTTTGAAAAGTCCAAAACACTAAAATCGAGATTGAAAGGATATTGGTGGAAATATGAAGATATGAAGCAGCTCTACCAAATATACGATGTCACCTTAATCTTGCATGATTTCACTTTAACACAATTTATTAGATCATGTCAAAAAAACACACTGACAGAACCACTTTACGACCTATGCACAGACCTACTTAATATACGACAAAAATCGGTCAAGCCGGTTGGGAGGAGTTCAACCACAAACACCGTGAAACGAGATTTGTATATATGTAGATTACCTTATTTTGTACTTACTGTTATTATGTAAGGAACTACTATTCCGCAATTCGACAGCACTTTGACGATTTTGTATAACGTTCATTGGTTTGGAGGATTCGTTTGCCGATGATGAACGTTTTCTCATTGGTTCATGACTAATATCAGGTCTTCCTTGATAAACATTTAAAAAGTTCATGTTAGTCTCAGTTTTTGCTGACATAGCGCTAGAAATATAGAGATAAAATAAACTTAGTTGAAATTAAGGAATAAAGCTGAAAATTTAAACAAAATTTAATTGTAAATTGTAAATATACTAGTACCGGGTCTGAACCTCTGTTTAAGTTTCCGTCTTGGCGGTTCCTGTCATACCTTTTATGCGGTTTGAGAGGTATGTATATTACAGTTGTCAGAAGTTTGTAACGTACAAAATTTTAATTAAGAAAATAACTAACATATAATGTACACATAAGCTTATGTACACATTTACAGTGTGTAGCAACAATAAAAATAACTAGCGACAAAAAAAACCGCAATTTGAAATGTTATGCATTTGTGACTTCTGTAGAATGTGGTTTTTGCAACTGTTATTCTATTCCTCTAATTAAATTTTTGGTAATCACCTAATCAATTTAAAAAAAAAATTCCAGACTAATTTTTGTATATCTAATATATACTTTAGATGAAAGTTTCCGGTTGTCAAGAAGAAAAATAATTTCTTTATTCTGGCTTTAATAATGATCCGATCTGTACCAAATTCGGCATATCTGCTATATATAGGCATTCTCTACGATACTGCGTTTTTAGTTTTATCGTATCTTCAAAATTGTGGATGACGGAGATTTCGGCCTTTGTAGGGGCGGAAGGGGGCTGGAAAAAATTTTGAAATACACTTGTAGCAGTGTGATGTTCCATGAGTCTGGAAATTAAATATGGTTTCTCTAGCTCTTATAGTCTCTAGACGACAAACAAGACGGCCGGACAGACGGACATCGACTCGATCGACTGGCGCTGATCAAGAATAAGACTGGATACTTTCACCTATGGCACAAAACCAGCATCAGTTCTAGCCGTCCGTTCTATGCAACAACTAGCAGCAGACGATTTTTATGTGGATGATTTGCTAACGTGGGAAGAGTCAAAAATGATGTGCTGGGAATTTTTCGCCAGGTTTCAGAACTCTTCGACCAAGAAAATTTTAAGATCAGGAAATACAGCGATACAGCTGTGCTTGATCAAACACCCAGTGAACATAGGGAAACATTTGTTAAATTCACTGATGGCTGCGACGTGAGCAAGACGCAAGGTTTGGCATGGAATCCCATCCCATATCATTACCCGCTAAGCATATCATTTCTCATCTTTGGAAGCATGGACCTCCATACCTGACAGCCAGTATGGATCAGTGGCCAAGTTCGCCCGGTCTTCCATAGCTGGTTTTGGAGGCACGGAAAACCATACTAATTATAAACTGCGTGAAGATATTTGGTGGGAGAATCAAAATTTGCTAATTCCTTCCCCAAAATGCTGCGAATTTTTGCGTATGTCTGCAAATTTATTCGTCGACGAAAGTTGGAATTAACGGTGGAGGACTGCGCTTGGAAACCGAATTACTTCTTCGCCTTACCCAGCAATATCGTCTAGCTACTGAAATAAGAGCCCTAAAATGGACATCAAGGCTTTTAGTTCGATCGCCTGGCTCTCGCTATTTTTAGCACACGTAATCCAGAAGTGTGTCAGATCAAAGATTCTATAACACAACAAGATGCGTAACGACCATACTGCTGAAAAGCACACGAAATTTTTAGCGGGATTTTCGATGTGGATTTTCGATTTTTCTATGTGTGCGTTGTGTTGTCCGTGTTTGAGCGCTTGGTTGTGTGAGTGCGTTTTTTCGTATGTTCTGTCGCAACAAAGGAGTCAACGTGACATATTGACGACTGTATGTCTCCTAAGTCCATGGCTCAGCGTACTAAGGGGCTGACTGCAAAGTGAAATTAAGCGAGTTCAAGCCTCACTCAGTGCATGTTTATTTATTTTTATCTTTTTTTTTGGGCCTCAACGGGGCCCTAGGCAACCATCAATTTGGTGGCCCCTCCTTTTTTCCCGACCCTGCTTTTTTTCATTTGAAATAACTCATAACTTTTATCTTTGTTTGATTATTCTGTATTTTTTTTTTTAATTTTCAGTGGCTATTATAATCGTTATTTTTTATTTGGAATTTTGTTTTATTCATGGCATTCATTATTAAGTATATTTGATTTTAAAATAAAGATAACCATGGTGGTCCGCAATAGTGGGGGGCCCCCGCCGGGGGGGGCGGGGCGGGGGGGGGGGGGGCGGGGGGGGGGGGGGGGCGGTCCTGGGCCCGGGGGTCCGGGTGCGGGCCGGATCGGGAGTGGTGGGGGGGGAAGGGGGGGGGCCACATACATATGTACATACATATGTGTGTGTATGCCCGAGAGACACAACGAAATTCTAAAAATAGAATACATTTTGTGTAGCGCACTCACACATACGCAAGTGTGGAGTTAGATTTCTTTAAAAATTGTGCTGCTGTCATACATTTTTTTCTTCCTCGTTACGCATTTTGTTGTATTATAGAATCTTTGGTCAGATGCTTTCGAGTGAAGCATCGAACTCTAGAGCAAATAATGGCAGATCTTCCGGCAGACAGAGTTAGCGAATCTCGTCACAGGAGTGGACTATTGCGGCCAGTTTCTGTATAAATCAGAAGTTCGGAATCGGCACAAAACAACGTGCTACATGAGCATTTGTATGTGCTTCTCCACTATGGCGGTTCACATCGAGCTTGTGAAAGATCTTAAAACGTCTGCGTTCTTTTCTGCTCTTCGCCGTTTTATTTGGAAACGTGGAAGACTGATTCGTATTGGGTCAGAAATTGGCGCCAATTTCGTTGGAGCGCGAAGCAAACTTAAGTCGCCATTCTTAATCGACAGCCATCAAGCTTGTCTTAACGATTGCTTCGAGTGACGTTTCATTCATCCTAGATCGCCACATTTTGGAAAATTGTGGGAGGTTTCAGCCAAGGCTGCTTAACATCATCTTCGAGGTGTACTTGGATCCTCAAATCTTGGATTTGATGAGCTGCGCACTCTTGCGTGCAATATTTGTTCAGTCATTAACTCAAGTCCAATGTTTCCTCTTTCAGAGAACCCTACAGAACTTGACGTGCTTACGCCTGCACTTTTTTTTGGTTGGCGCCCGTATCACAACATTCTTGAAACCTGACTTGGCGCATTTAAACGCCGATCACTTGGTCCGTTGGCAGAAAGTCACACAGCTTCAGCAAATCTTTTGGTCTCGATGGCGTGAATCTTATTTAACTAGCCTTCAGGAGCGAACGAAGTGTCGCACCCGAAATCCTGTGCCTCAAGTAAAATTGTGTCGTTCTTGTTAAGGACGAGAACTTCCCTCTGAACTTCCCTCGCCGCTAGCGAGAATCCTCGAACTCATCCCAGGAGCTGATGGCGTATCTCGAGACGCATTGATCAAGATGGCTATAGGTGTTAGCCGAAGAGCAATAGCAAAACTATGTCTCTTACCTCTACGAAATGAGGTGAGAGGCATGGATCCCTTTACGGGGGGATTATGTTCGGGCGAAGCCCATGTGTAAATGAAAGTATAATAGAAGAGAGTTATATTATGCTTTCATTATCGTAACGTAATCGAAACTCGCTTGACGCCATATCATTGTATCATCTATTTTTTGTATCTATGCTCGCTCTTGCTTGCGTCGCTAAGCCGTCTGCAGCTGCTCTTAACATCATCTTCGCCGTGTACCTTTTTATACCCGTACTCAAAATGAGTTAAGGGGTATATTAGAAATGTAGTAAAAGTGGATGTGTGTAACGCAGAGAAGGAAACGTTTCCGACCCCATAAAGTATATATATTCTTGATCAGCATCAATAGCCGAGTCGATATAGCCATGTCTGCCTGTCCGTCTGTTGGTCTTGTTGAGCGCCTAGATCTCAGAGACTATAAGAGCTAGGGCAACCAAATTTGGTTTCCAGTGTATTTCAAAATTTCGCCCCGCCCCCTTTCACCACAACAAATTTAAAGATACGATAAAACTAAAAACGCGGTATCGTAGAGAATGATTATATCTATTAGATCTGAATCAGATCGGATCATAATTTTAGCCATAATGAAGAAATTAATTTTCAGTTGCTTCCCCCGCCTCCCCATCCAGCGACACGCTACTCATTCTCTTTCTCGCTCGCACACTCTGCCGCGTTCAGTGCGCGAGCAACCCCTAGCGGAGGAGATGTAGAATCTAATAGTACATGTACAATCTACATGTTAGATGTAGAATATACATTGTATATGTAGATGTAGCAAAAAAAAATGTAAAATGTAACATTTTTTTAAATTCTAAAATTCTAAAAAATCATAAGCTCAAAAATGTATATACTGACTGACGGGTATAAAGAGAGTCTCGTCCCTTGAAGCGACTCAAACGTTCCTTCGCGTTTGTCCTCAAGTTATTATTTTGGCACGAGATTGGCTCGCTTGCCTCTTCCAAGTAAAGCTCGATATACCAGATCCTACTAGCATTTAAAATAAACATTAAAACAATTAAGAGAAATGAATAATTGTCAACTTATTGTCAATATAGTCAACGAAAAAGCTCGTGGTCTTAAAAAATATACTTGGACAAAATGTACATCCCTATGAATCTATTGGTCCCGGCTTCACGCGTAAATGGCTGGACCGATTTCGCTAATTCTTTTTTTTGTTGTGTTGGTTATTGTCAGGAGAAGGTTTTATGTTCTAGAATCCCCGATATATTGGCTGCAAAAAACGTTAACAAATGGTTATAACTTTGACAGAGAGACCTATCAGTAGAAAAGCTAGCTTTGTATACGAAACACTTCGATCATTAGATTCGTTGCAATAGTTTTCTTTAATTTACAAAGGAATCTTCGTTTTTAAAAACGCCAGCAGCTAGACGTACAGGCTCAAGTCGCATAACTCAGAATTCTGCAAGTCACAGATATAGAAGAGCACGTCATACCGACGAGCAACGCGAAGCGAGGAATGAAGTTGAACGGAATCGAAATCATCAAAAAGATAGAAATGTTGCCTTAGACCACTATCGAGCTGCATTCAATTATAACGCGTTAATAGATTACAGTTCACAGCAAATCGTTGCTGTTGGACAAATGAACTTTCAATATTCAGGGTCAAATATATCATCTAACA